GGCTTAGCCTTGGGGGCTTACCGTGCTCTTCCAACAAACATCGAACCAAGGATCCTGGCACTCCTTTTCGGCCGTATAAATTGGGGGAAAAGGAAGCGAAAACTGTCAAGCCGATAAAAAAAAAGATCCCTCCCTCGTATCAGAATCCAGTTTTTTCGAGGTCTGATATTTCCGTTGAACCGAAAAGTCTCCGTTATCCCATATCGAGGCGCGCACGTTTGGAATTCTTGCAGAGGAATGAAATTCAAAAAAACCAACATTGAGCAAATCGCGTTGCCCCTTGCACAATTTTTGCACAACGACGCCTCCGGGCCGGCAATATCCTCGGCACATTGTTAAGGATTGCGGCAAATCTGCCGTGCCTCCTAACTGGAAAAATGCAATCCCTATTTTGCATATAATAACCTTTTTCGGTCAAATGGCAAAATAATTCAAGGAGTGGTAATGACGATACGCGGCATGAAAGGCTGGAACTCTTGAAAGTGGAAAGTCCTACTCGACTGCGGCCTTACAATGGGATTGAAGTTCTCTAAAGTGCTTCAAGGTCTGCTTATACGCGGTTACTTAAGATTTAAGTTGAGACAAAATTCTACCTTAACAGGCAAAATCCTTGCAATATACTGAATATGACAAAAAGGAGGAAAAGACCGAACTTTTTAGTGAGTCTCAATAAAAGAGAAAGTTGGACGAGAACCAACAAACATTGAATAATTTATCATTCAGCAATAAAAACAGTTAAATAGTTTAGTCATTTATCAGGAATATTTCTTCAAAATAATAAAAATACCATTCGTATTCATGTTTTTTCTAGAATTCTGTGAATCAGTCAAACTACTGACTGTACTGTTTATTTACACAGGAAATAATAAATACACATAATATATTGATATGTTATTCCTAGCGATAGGTTCAAGACTTTATTTTACAAGGACAGGCAAGGCTAATAAAACTTCTTTGCCTTTCCTTTAACTTAGGGGATGGGATGTAGGAGGCAGGCGGTCACAAGGCCTACTGCACCTCGACCTGGATAGATCTGTTGTGCTCCCGTGTTACTGGCCATCTTCGGTTTATATAATCAGCCTCCATAGCTTTGCCAGAAGCTTCTTAGTGTAGGATCCTGCTTGAAGTTTTTCTTCTTCTAGTTTCAAGAACCTGCACCTACATAGACCTTCACAGAAACATAGAATATGTGTTCTGTGGTCTCCTCGTCTTCCTGGCGTCTGCACAGTGTTTCTTCTGTCTGTACTACTATCCGGTGCATGTACCTACTTAGGTGGCAGTGCTCTGTCAGGAGTCCAATCCTAGTTCGGTTGCGGTTCCCTTCCAGTAATTCTTTTGTAAGTATTGCGGATTGTCATTCTATGAATCTCTTCGCTTGCCTCATTAAGGATCCATTTTTAGATGTATCCTCTTTTGTGGCAGGATGCTAAGCCACAGTAGGGTTCAGGACACAGAGAGTCCATGTTGGCCCCCTTTCTAGCCAACATGTCATCCTTTTCGTTGCCTCTATGCCTCGAGTACCCCCTGCCAGGGTCAAGTCATTAGTGTCGTTTACTTCCGTCACGGCCTTCCATGCAGTTCCAAACACTCTTTGTCTTCATCTCGCAGAGGCTAGGGGTCGTTACTACTGTCTGACTGTCAGAGAAAATGGCTACCTTTCGGGAATGTATTCCTAGACTTTTTATTTCTCTGGCGTGTTGTTCAATCGCTATGACTTCAGAAAATTGTAGCATATTTACGTAGGTTTATCGTCAATTCGGCCTTTGGGTTCATCCCGAAGACTCCAGCTCCCGTACCTTTGTCAGTTTAGGAGCTGTCAGTATACCAGTAGGAGTTTGCCTTTAGCGGTGTTCCTTTGGCCCATTCTTCCCGTTCTGGATATAATACCTTGTACTTTTTAGTAAAATTATACTTTGGATTAGTGGCATCAATTGGCATGCCTAGAATTCCTCTAACTTACTATTGCCTGTTTAAACTTTTATGTGTCTATGTATTTCATGTTCCATGTTTTATAATATTAATTAGAATCGTACCATAAAAAATGGTAAGCGTCATTAATTAACGCATAATCTTCCTAAAAGTAATAAGAGCCCATATAGGAATAAAATAATTTTGCACATCAAATTTTTGAAGTTTTTGAAATCTAACTACCATGTTGAACCGGTACTGCGTCACTTACTGGTTACACCTACATTTTGATGTTATTCAAACGTATTTCTTCTTAGCCCCATCTTCAGTGAGGAACACAGTTGTTTTGGTAGTTTTTTAGTCGGACCGAGCAAGAGTCCCATTGCTTAACATATTAGGTAGGTGTCATTTAATTGATTATTACCGACTTGCAGACCAATACCCACCATCACTTTTAACCACCTACTAACTAACCATGCTTAAAACACCAGCAGGCTAGGGCAAAATAAGAATCACTCAAAGCTAGCCACCGTCTGGTCAATGGGAAATCAATGAGTGAAAACCGCCTGCCGAAAATCGTACATTAGGTGAGGAAGGCATTCTCCGGTATCGAAGAAATTGACCTGGTGGGGTTTGACGTAAGTCGATTTTAACGGGGCTTTTTCGCGAAGGGCTGGAAAAACTAATGGGCGAAAGTGGCGACGTGCAGATTATCTGGCGGGACTACTTAACGATATTGAGTTAGAAATCAATATATGCACTGATTGTTGGACCTTCTTATTTAAATTTATTAGAATTTATTATTATTTTTTAAATTAATCAGAGCTTTATGGGTTTTCAACGCAACCAATATTCGTCAACATCAGAGACCAGCATTATTCTATCTTTCTCTATTTCCTTCTTCTCAACTGACCGCAAGGAATATTGTTAAACGATTTGCGCAACGGGCGAGACGCCAAGGTTTCCGTTTCCTAATACAATATTATGCGTATGTTAATTCTCACAAAACATTCCCATGGCCCTTCATTATCGGTTTCTCAATGGTTTTTATTTTCATCGGGCTGAACCGAGGGAGGATTTTGGTATTATAAACCACGTGTTAATTACTCAGCTAACTACCTGCTAACACGTTTTCTAGGTTAAGCCTGGAACGAAATTCTCGCGGTCGATTCTGTATATAGGGTGATTCGCTATTAGTACCGACAAAGTTCGTGCTTCTGTACCTCAAATGTAACAAAAAAGTTGGTATGAACCATGGTCCGATTCTCAACCCTTTCGCACATGTTGAACATGTTTCCCACCTATCTACGGTTTTCTTCATAAATACACTCGTACCTCTTGAACTGTTCACTTTTGTGAAAATATAAAAAAATAAGAGAAGGTCGTAGGTTCGAATCCCGCTCGTAACACGAACTTTTTCATTTCAACCAATACCTTACATAAAGATTAATTAATTGAAAGAAATATAATAGAAAAAAGGCTTTGAAAAGAGCGTACAAATTTCCTTTAAAAAGGCACCCACCCTTCTAACCCTCGATTAAATTTTTGATAAAAAAAAAACGAACTCTAAATCTTTCAAAACCTGCTATATTTGTAAAAAAACTAAATTTGCAACCTGGTTTGCAATTCTCGGTAGAGTTTGGCAAATTACAAAAGATACAATAAAGTTAGCGAATATCCAAAGTTGAAATATTGGACAAAATATCTACACAGACAAAACGAAAAAAAAGACATCAGTTTACAAGTTGTAAAAACCCAACATAAAAGCTAATAAAAAAGCACACAAAAAGAAAACATCAAAAATAAAGAGCCATTAAATATAGTGAATAACCAAAACATAAAAATTACATTGAATCTTCCTTTTTTGTACTTTTCTACCAGGTTATAGTTGTGTTATAAGTTCTTTTCAATTTTTCCCCAAAAAATGAATATTTCAAGAGCTATGAGTAGATTCAAAACGAAAACCGTAGATAGTGGGAAAAAACCGTAAGCTGTTCGATTATCTGCGAAAGGGTTGAGAATCGGACCATGGTTCAAGCGAACTTGTTTGTTGCATTTAAAGTTCAGAAGCACCTGAAAAACTTTGTCGTCGAAGTAGTTAATCACCCTGGCAATTTTGGTTACAGTTGTGTTTTTTTTGACTTTGCAAACTTAGTGTTTGATTATGATTTTTTTTCTAATTTTGTGCAGTGGCATGCTATGAAAGTCTATCTTTAGCTATTTTGTGATCGTTACCCGCTTTTAATGTCTGCCAATTAAAATAACAATAAAATTCCATTAATAATCAATTAATTATAAGTTTAAATATTAAAAGAGTTAATAATCACACACGCCCATAGAAGATAGTGAAATGACGGAACGCGACTGACAGAATGAAAGGATATAAATAAGTATTAAACAAAATGGTAGTCTTTTTGGTAAAACTATTTCCCTTAGACGACTCTGTAGATTCAGATTAAAGGACAAATTCAACAAGAGGACCCATTAAAAATTCAGGACAGTAAGAAAATCTATTGTACTAACGTGATCCAGAGTCAACAGGCCATCATCAGTCTCCGGATTTTCCCATCACTTTGGTAATTAAGTAAATTGATGAGCTTTCGCGAGTTGTTTTCGGTTTCTCAGTGATTGATGACTGAATGATTTATCCCGATCTGTACTATCATGGGATTGCTATGTTCCGTTCAAATGTTGTTCCGCTTTGACACAAGATTTCATCAACAATAAAGCAGTCTGCATGAAAAAGGATTATTTGACTTTTTCCCCTGTTCTGCATGGTTGAGTTTGCACTGTGATTACCAAAATTTCAAACGCTTCTCATTTATTAAAAAACCCATTGATTTTTACATTATATTTTATTTCTTATTATTACAAGACTCTTATCACAAGCGCCATGTTTCCCTATTTAAACTTCTTACTATCCTAATATGTGTTTTTTTCTAATAAAAATGTAATATTCATTCAGCTATACACTGATCTAAATTTTTCTTGGTCAGATTTACCAAAAAAAAAAAAAAAAATCGAATTGGAAGGTGAGGGAGCTATTATTAAAAGAATAATCCTTCTTCAATTCCTCTTTAACGTTTGCGTAGGACATGAAGATGGGATGGATGAAAGGAAGACCTTGCCTGTTTTTTTCAACCCCGGGCGAGAGGAGACTTGTCGAGGAGACGACAGGCCGATTCGGTAAATAAAACACTGAAATGAAATTTGGTTAAGAGCGACTGGTGGCAGCTTTGGTGGATTTTTGTACATAACCTGGAGCTGGTTTTTCACTTTATTTATGTTTGTCTAACCTTATTGCATGATACTAATAAACGCATGCTTGCATTGTTTTTTAAAATTTCCAATTGAAACATTGCAATAGGAAAGGAGGTAGATGCGTGGCACCTACAGGATCATTATTACTTTTTAAAGTTACTTTTGTGTGTTATGTTGTATATAATTTTTAATAATCCCAAAATATCAATTTCTATTAAAAAATCTTTCGTCTTTCAAGAAATAGATTCGTTTGCATTAATAATAAATTTAAATGGAACGTGAAAGTCATGGGATATTTAAAATTCGTAACTATACTATTTTCTCTCTTTAATAAACGGATATGGTTTTATGATAAGTTGGTATATAATAATATAAAAAATTATATAGGTCAGCATAACGTCATGATTGTTTGGTCAGCAGTTTAATTATCGCTCTTGGTCATTTAGGTCCACTTATTCCGGCTGTTTGGTCACATGCTTGGGCAGATTGGCAATGATGATAGCGAAATACGGAAACTTATCCGGCCAAGGGGTAAAGCGAAAATACGCGGGCCAGGATTATCAGAGACACTTTACAAATGTTCAAAACCTCAATTGAAGAATTTAATTTAATTTATGCCCGACGATTTTGGATTCCGAATTACCCTCAGGCTCAAATCTGCAGTTTATACTCAAAAGGCTGTATGTTTTAATGTAAAAATGTTTCTTCCTGAGTATATTTGTCTCCTGTTGGTTAGTTCATTTTTATTACTGTCTGTTGTCCAGCTAAAGAAAGAATAGGCGGACCAGGATTATCAGGGACGGTCAGACTGTTGACAAATCTTCAAAAACTTGATTGTCCAATTTAATTTAAACCTGACGTTTTTGGTTTCCGAAGTATCCACAGGTTCAGATCTGCAGTTTATACCCAAAAGGCTGTATGTTTTAATGTAAAGATGTTTCTTCCAGAATCTTTTGGTCTCCTTGGTTAGTTGATTTTCATTACTGTCTGTTGTCTAGCTAAAGCGAGAATAGGCGGACCAAGATTATCAGGAACGGTCAGACTGTTGACAAATCTTCAAAAACTCGGTTGTCTAATTTAAATTAATTTAAACCTGATATTTTCGTTTTCCGAATTATCCACAGGTTCAGATCTGCAGTTTATACACAAAAGGCTGTATCTTTTAATATAAAGATGTTTCTTCCAGAATATTTTTGTCTCCTTGGTTAGTTGATTTTCATTATTCTCTCTTGTCCAGCTAAAGCGAGAATAGGCGGACCAAAATTATCAGGAACGGTCAGACTGTTGACAAATCTTCAAAAACTCGGTTGTCTAATTTAATTTTATTTAAACCTGACATTTTTGGTTTCCCAATTACCCACAGGTTCAAGTCTGCAGTTTAAACCCAAAAGAATGTGTTTTAATGTAAATATATTTCTTCCTGAACATATTACATTGTGCTCTGTTGATTAGATGACCTTCATTACTCTCTCTTGTCCAGCTAAAACGAGAATAGGCGGACCAAGATTATCAGTAATGGTCAGACTAGTGACAAATCTTCAAAAACTTGATTGTACAATTTAATTTAGTATAAGCATATCGGTTTATTTTCCGAATTATCCTTAGATTGAAATTTGTAGCTTATACCCAGAACGGTGTATTTAAAAAAAATACAAATGATTCTTCCTTTACAAACATTAAATTTTGATCTGTTTGTTAGTTAATCGTCAATACTATCTGTTGTCCAGCTAAAGCGAGAATAATTGGATCAGGGTTATCATGGATGCTGCCTTCAAAAATTTTCAAAAACTCGACAGCCAATTCAGTTTTATAACAGAATATTCTATCGATATGGTTTCGTAAATACCCAGATGTGGCTAATAGGGCACAGTTGTTAATGTAAAGATGTTTAAACTTCCCCCAACACATTAGAGTGTTCGCTAGTTGATCTTCATTACTGTCCCTGTTTGCCCGGCGATATCGTACTCATAAGTCATTTATCATGCACACTCGTGTATTTTATCGTATTCTGCACTATCTTCGTTGCAACGACCAATTGTCCAGTTTTTACTGAAATGTTTGGATAAATTTGTTAGGCAGTTATACTAATTTTATTGGTCATAGATTACATTGTACGAAAAAAAATTTCCTTGCTTTAATCATGTTTTCCCGGGTTTTATCAACACTGTGTTTCAATTCGTTGCTGGTTTTACGCAGTTGAATATTTTAGAGCATGACTTGGAGAAATTCATTGTTTTCTGAAATTTGCTGTTAACTCGAAACCAGCTTCAATTTGTATTAATAAATTAATTAACAATACAGTATATATAATATATCATGTATAAAAAAAGAAAATATAAAAATGCAATCAAAAAGTAAAGTGGTCATAATTTGTAATATCAATATCTTAGAGAGATAAATAAATAAAAGATTATACATTGTTAGGAAGTATTCTGGTATTCCCAGTTAATTTTACTAATATAATATATTTCAATTCTACAGAACAGCGAAAATAAGAGTAAGGACCTGCGAAATTAAATATGCCCGAACTAGATTTTCGTCAAATTTATTTGTACGAATTTAAACTTGGGGGAAGTGCGGCCCAAACCGCGAGTAACATAAATACAATCCACACTCACCCCATCATTTATAATTTCTACATAATACATTTCGTCTTGGAGATTTCGATCGCGAAGAAAGGGAAGGTCTCTCGGTAGGCTTTCTGTTGTGGACGACGACCAACTCAATGCCTTGATATAAGAAAATTAACGTAAGGCAACAAGCAAAACTGCGGAAGAGTTTACTGTTTACTACTCAACCGTTGTTCGCCATCTGGAGCAAATTGGTAAAGTAAAAAAGCTCGGCAATTGGGTACCGAACTAACTTACTGAAGCCCAAAGAAATGGACGAATCATCATGTACGATGAGAAATTGATTCTGTTAGATCTGTACAGCAACAAAATCTGCAGTCAAAAAAGGTTGTGGTGACTGTTTGGTTGTTTGCCATAATTTTTTGAAACTATCACAGCAGAGAGTTATTGCCATGAATTTGACCAAATGCACAGGAACTGCAACGTCTTTGTCCAGCATTGGTAAACCGTAAGGCGCCGATTCTACTTCACAACTCCAGGCCACATGTTGCAAGCCAACCTTGAGGAAACTCAAGTACTTAGGATATGCAACTTTAACGCACCTTCCATATTCACCCGTCCTCTCGCCTACAGACTTGCGGTTTTTTTAGGCATTTTGATCACTTCTTGAGGGGTAAAATTTTTTTTGGAGGAAAGCGGTGAAGCCAAAATCTCCTTCCATGACTTTTGAGTCAAATTTTTTTTATGTCAGCAGAATAAAAGCGTTTATGTTGGCAAAGATGTATAGATTACGATGGAACATATTTCGAATGAATTTTCTCTATTTTATAAAAATTAAAAATAGTTTTTTTTTGCCCTTTCAAAACCTGCATTTTTTTTGCACCATCCCATTTTAATGCTAGGCATAACCCGTTGACTGTTTTTCAAGCTTTATTAGATGGTTTTCCTATGGTGGAAAAAAAATGCCATAAAAATTTGATTGCATATTTGCTTGCTATATATGTGGGTGGGATGTCAGGTTTATTATAGGAAAATATAATACGTAGTTTTATCATTATTTTGTATTGGCTTATAATAATAATAGTTCGTATCAGCGTTTTTTTGTTTGTTTTTTAATTGTAATTATTTCAAAAAGCTTCATCATCGTGCATCAACTCTTCACTGCTAAGAACAGGTTTCTTTGACACAGAAAACTGTGATGAAACAGTTGACAATATAACCTTGAGTTGTCTTTTTCCAAAGCGATTTTTAATTAGCGCTTTAGATCAATTTGCAGTGCGTGGGCCTCCAAGACCAGAAGCTCTCGGCATGTAATTAGACCAGTCACAGCAATGAATAGTTAGTTTGAACAGCATCAGTCACGACGTTTACTCGTGATGCTCCCGACTGAAACAATCCGTTTTCTATTTAAATCCCTTTTTGTTCTCCGTTTGGAAATTTGCTGAAACTTTCCTATTTTATTTGTACTCAACTATGTTTAGATCCCAAGCCATGGGATCCCGCCGAGCCAGATGTTAAGATACGGATGGTATTTTCAGCCCGAGATGATTTATGTTTATGTTCGCAGAAACAATTTCACGCACGTTTTAGTCGCTGGGGTGGCGAACAGTCTTATTTTCCGGTCTTTGAAATTTGTGTAATTCAATTTCACTTTTTATTCTGTAAAAACGTTCTAATGAAACATCCTAATAAAATGCCGATAAAAATGATATAAAATAAAATAAAAAACTGGTCCGTCTGTCCTCGCTATTATTGTAGAATCGTGATCATGTTGCCAAAGTTATATTTCATTATCTTAAAAATCTAAAACAAAACAAAAACGATTTCTACTTTCCCCATTCTCCTTGAACTTAAATAAAAGTCGCAATCAGTAAAACACTAACGCCTATTAACTTAGCACCAAATACTTCCTTATCCCGAATATACACTCAAAGACATAAAAATAGACATGTGTATTGATTTGTTTATTTTCCACAATGACTAGGTGTAAAGATTAATAGTTGACTTAAAACGTACACCTACATTAATAGTTCCTTGTTTACCTTTATAGAGTGTTATTAATCGTTTTACACTAGTTAGATTAAAAATAAAGATAATCCGTTCAATTTCATCCTTTCCAGACCCAACTTGTCGAGTTAATTGGTTTTTTTATTTGTTTTCTTTCACGAAACAGTAAAATTGAAAAAAAATTAATTATTAATTTTTTGTTAAAAGCTTGTCGAGAAGCAAGTAGAGAAGATATCCACAGAGGTTTAGGGCCACCGGAGGTCTCGATCGAAGAGAAGGCAGTGGTAAACCGCGATCTACTACGGGTGTTTTATTGTTTTATCAGACTACGGAATTTAACGGCTTCCT